ATATATAGAGAGAGAGAGAGAGAGAGAGAGAGAGAGAGAGAGAGAGAGAGAGAGAGAGGGGGAGAGAGAGAGAGAGAGAGAGAGTGTATATATATGTGTTTATTCACAAGTGGAGAACACCCACAAAAACATTCCTGAAAATAATTTGTGGTTTCATGCACTTTGAAGTGATGTAGGACAAATGCACTTTGTATTATTATTCCCTTTAAAGTTGGAATGGAATTAAATGATTGCGACAATGTGTGTGAGTCTTATCGGATCAAAGTGTATGGCTTCATAAATTTATGAATTTGCAAATGACACCTTCAAAAGTACTGAGGAAGTCTTGAATTTTGCCATTTGGGTCTTGAAGTTTGATGCTGTAACATTTATGCTGTAACATTGGCCTGTCGCGATAATTACATCTTGACCCCATGAGAATAGTTTTTGGGGGACCTGCTAAATGGTCATTTACATGCGCGTTTGTTGACATACGTTATCAAAATCCACTCGCGCTTCTTTTGTTTTGCCTCTTCCATCACTCTGTTCGCCACTGTGCAAGTTGGCACTCAATCACACGCACACATACACACGAGAGCTGCAACTGCTTTTGAATCCTGTCTCAACGGTTCACCTCGACTGTTCGCTTGTGTCCCGTCGCTTCATAAGCACACGCAACGCTTTTTCTCATTTATTAATGAGCCACAGCACCATGTACAATACCGCTACAATAGCCAAGTAGCGGTAATGCTATCCAGCGCAACCCTGCGTTTGGCTAACAGCTATCCTTACGGTCCTCTTTTCTTTGCTTGTTTCATGCACTACGCCCAACAGAAACTTAAAGACACTCAAGGCTGGCACAAGATACCAGTTTCTAGTGCCAGGTGTGAGCTCACAGCTCGCTTGAAATTGCTGTGCGTTAAATACATCAGCCTATGTACATCATATGAGACTTATTCCATAACTCTGGCTTTTATTTCGGAGAGTATTGATTAGATCAGTTGTAGCCGTGGTACTTAACCATATTTAATGTAAGAAAAAAAAAATCATGGGTAACCAGCAAACAAAAATATAAAAAGTACTGATTTGTGAAATCTCGGCTTTCTTTCATTGAACATAAATCTGATATAATCTGAGTTATTCTGTTGGATGAATGGCAACAGCTGGATTCACGGGCTGATTGTTCGTTCCGTTTGACCTTGAATGAAAGAACATTTCATTTTTCTGCCTGTCAGCATACACCACTTGCAGATACAGGAAGAAATGTATCTCTGATGACTGTGTGTGAAAAAAAATAATCATACACAGTCAATCATGATAATGATGATGATAATTAATAGCGCTGTGAACGGATTTCCTGTGATTATTCTTTCACTTTTAACCCAACTGCAGACTAAACAGATTGCCTAAAGACGTGGATTCCCAAGCAGCCATTCCAGCCTTGTACATCCAGGTGAAAGAAGACGCTTTTTACTCTGCCACGACAGACAGTATATGGTTGGAAGGGTTGTTAATATTTGAAGTGTATTTTCCGACAGACACCCCAAGTCATTTTTATTTGTCCTTTTTTTTCAAGATCTAAGATATTTTATTACATTTCAATGAAAACATTCAGTATACTTCAGAATTGAATGATAATTGCACTTAAAATTATGTACTTGAATTATTTTTTGCTCAATCACAATTTTAGTGGCATTAAAAAAAACACGATCATTTATCATGATAGTTTCTGAGAAAATATATCATCAGGGAAAATTTGTGATCATCACAGCCCTAACTCTATCTAACGTCTTCGTGGAGAGGCCATTAGGAAAAGTTGGCTGTCCTTCATAAAGAGATCACTGCCAAGAGTGCGGAACTAAGGAGTTCAGTGCTCCTGATCTTCATTTTATTTATATGTTGTTGAGTTACAATTGACATCGTTTAGTGTTTAGTTTAGTACATATTTTTGTCAAGTTGAAGTCAACCTTGTCTGAGTATTTATTCGCCTCCTGTATTTTCTTTCAATATCAATTCTAATTTCAAGAGATGGGGATTGACACTGCATCTGTCGACTACCTTCGAGTCCTCTTCCCAACAGATACCATGAGAGATTTTCTGAACTCCCAGACCGAACAGCAAAGTAAAGCTTATCTTTTTTTTCCTTTGACTACTACAAAAGCAGCCCCCGCAGTGTGGCAGGGGAGACCTCACGCAGGGGACTTGTGGCAAGGCACAGATAATTCATAATTAACAACAAGCACACAATTAAATTGAAGGGGGACAGGTGGTGAATCAATGAAGAATAGAATTTTTTTAAAAAGGTGATTTTTGCCGAAATGCTCGTTTTCGCCAATGAGCTGTCACTTGCAAATGAACAGATACAGAACTTACATTCTTTTCTCCATCCCGCTCGAACGAGTACGCATCATCTTTTTCTCGCTCCCGGCAATCGCATGTGCACAAGTACACACGCAACATACACACAAAGAACGAATACGGTCAAGCACAACGGCTAAGTAGGCCGAGTGGATACTTTTCCAGCCCCCAAGGACACACTCAGTGGCAAAGTACTGATGGACACGGGGACAAAGGGAAGCAGTATGTTGTCAGAAGATAAAAACATAAGAATGAACATTTTCCGACAGCTTTTGGTTTTCATTACAACTGATGTTTTTTTTTTGGGGGGGGGGGATGTGTGAAAGATTTAACACATTTCTAACACTCTTTCTAAAAATCACAACCTCTTCACAAAGAAATGACAGACACCAAGATATCGACCAACATCCTATGTACATACACGGAGGAAAAAAAGGTCTTTGCTGATAAGACATTTCATTGCAAACTTTCCG